GGGATAAAGGCAAGGAAAATCTGGGACACAGAAGACAATGTTGGGAGCTGCACAAACAAACGGGGACATCCACCTTGTTGCCAAAGAGTGTCCTGCTGCTCACATCCAGGATTTGGGATGCTCGAGCTGCTCACACCCCAAATTTGGGATGCTTGAACTGCCCATCGGGAGCCTCCACCTGGTGGTGGTGGGTGTGGCTCTGACTGGGAGGTCGGAGATGGGGAGGATTGCAAAGCTCTCCCCTGACCCCGCAGACCTGTGGCTCACCCAGCACCAAATCCAGCTGCTATTTTCCTTGCTGACTGTCACTGAGGTCATGGAATTCCCTCCAGAACCCGGTGGCTGTGGCAGTAATTGGCAGAGGAACTGGGAAAACACCCACTCAGGGCCAGGTGAGTGCTGGGGCAGGTCCCTGCCTGCACCAGGGGCCAGTTCCTGCCCTGTGTCCCTGTTGGGCTTTGGCTGTTGCTGTGACATCCCTGCCCTCCCCTGAACAATCCCCAGGGACTCGAGGACAAAAGCATTTCTGAGCATTGTGAGGCAGCCTGTTTTTGTCTTTTCCAGAGGATTTTAAGAGCTGTGATGTCTTAGAATCATGGGATGGTTTGGGTTGGAAGGGATCTTAAAGATCATCTTGTTCCACCCCCTGCCAGGGGCAGGGACACCTCCCACTATCCCAGGTTGCTCCAGCCTGGCCTTGGACACTTCCAGGGATGGGGCAGCCACAGCTTCTCTGGGCAACCTGTGCCAGGGCCTCACCAACCTCACAGGGAACAATTCCTTCCCAGTATCCAACTTAAATTTCCCCTCTGTCCATCTGAACCCATCCCCCTTGTCCTGTCACCCCCTCTTTCCTTTTTATTGTGGTTACAGGGAAAAGAAATATCTTTTAACAGGCAAAGCCCAAAGAGGCAAAGGAAAGGAAGCCCAAAACTTAGGATGAGTGATCACTCCAAGGGTTTCCCTGGGATGAGTGGGGTTGGCAGCTGGGCTCCCTTTGCTCAGCCTTTGAGCAAGGGTGTAACACATCCCAGCTCCTTCCCTGGTTGCCTCCCTGGCTCGGGAAAACAAGGATGAGGAGTTTAAGGAAACGCAAACGCAAGAGAGATCTTGGGAATGTAACTTTATTGGGCACCTCATGGGGCCAAAGCACAGCCTGGGGCATCAGCTGAAGGCAGCAGAGAACCACCAGTGATGTCTCTTCCCCAGGTGGCTCCAGAGGTCACAGGAGGGGATTTGGCAGCCGGAAAACCCCGGGGCTGGGGAGCTCTGGGAAGGTGGGAGGGAGCTGGTCCAGGTGTGGCCTCTGCAGCTGGAGCTGGAGCGTGTGACACTCCTGTCACTTCATCTTCTGCTGGGGCACCTGGGGCATCTGCTGCTGCTGCTGCTGCTGCACCTGCATCTGGGGCTTCCCGTGGCAGCCGGAGCCGCCGGAGCTGTGGCAGCCGCCGGAGCTGCCCCCGGAGCTGTGACAGCCCCCACCCCCGGAGCTGTGGCAGCCACCACCACCCCTGGAGCTGTGACAGCCCCCAGAGCTGCCCCCGGAGCTGTGGCAGCCCCCAGAGCTGCCCCCAGAGCTGTGGCAGCCCCCACCCCCGGAGCTGTGGCAGCCCCCGGAGCTCTGGCGGGTGTAACTGTGGCACTGGTCCTTCTCCTGCCGGGAGCACATTGTCCTGTGCTGGGGGGACCTGTGGGGAGAGACAGGAACCATCAGGGGCCCTTCCAGGGAAGAGAAATCTGGGTGTACATCCATCCAGTCGTGGCCCAATCCCAGAATCCGCTTTAAACATTGCACTGGGTTCTTTCCCCCCGTGGGATTGTCCCACCAAAGCCCAATCCAGAACATGCCACCTCAAGCCAACACTCCAGAGTCTCCCTCCAAGTCCAAATCTCTGCTCTCGCTCCTTCAGCAACCCCTGCACTCCCTCCTCACCCACCTCCCCTCTCACAACCACCCTCAGAACAAACCCCAGCCCAGCCCAAGGTGTGGGGGTCCAAACCCCCCCCACCTCCTCACCCAGCCCTGGAGCCCCCAAAATCGCTGCTCTCACCTGAGATGCTCAAGCAGCAAAGACACAAGGAGGGAATGAGGCTTTCTGGGCCAGGAGCACTTTTATACCCTCCCTGCACACCCCACCTGGAAATGAAGCCCCTCCCTGTCTCCGAGCTCTCCCCGTTCAGTTCGTTCGTCGATGTGGGTTTTTTTTCTGCCTCCCCACTCCTCGGGCTCGGGGAGTGACTCACCCCATCCACGCTGGGATTGCCTCCTCTTGTAGGTCGCCTTTCCTGTGCCACAGAAATTTAATTGGCAGCTCTGCCTGAGGTGGCTGCGATGGGGGAGTTGTGTGGGTGGCCCCGGTTTCCACAGCTTGGCCAGGTTGGTTTGGGTGTTGATCACACCTGGGGAGGGCTTTGTGTTTAGGGGGGGAAATGATGGCTCATACTTAAATCACAACATCCTTCTGGGAGGTCTTGAGGTTCTCTGGTCCTGCAAACCCCCCTAAACACAGAGATGTGTCTGTAGGTACCAAAATAAGGGAGAAAAGTCTTCTTTAACAGCAACTCCCTCTGTGCTGGGCACTGGGGAGGGCTTTTCCAGCCTGAATGATTCTGGGATTGTGTGGTTTGACTGGTCCCACTGTTGGCTCATTTCCCTTGGAACCACCCAAAACCCGTTGGAGTGATGAAGAGAGAGAAAAGATCCCCCCCAAACCTTTCTTTGCCGGTCAAAGGTTTCCTGCTGTTGCCAGAAGGACCACAAGCAGTTGGAATTCTTATTTTTGGAAGGGAGAAGCCCTGCCCTGGGTAGCGATCCAGGATTAGCAAGGTGCATAATTATGTGGTTGACTTTCAGCCCGTGAGTAATTCCCGAGCAGTGCCGGTGGTTTTATTCCAGGTTTTTATTCCAGCTTTGGTGCTGCCACGTGCAGGACGAGGGTCCCGTGGGTGCTGCCTGTGGTGTCACCCCGTGGCTGCCACATTGTGGGGACCTGTCAGACCCCAGGGACTTTCTCAAACTTGTAGGAAGGTCCTTTCTGGGTTTTCCCTGACCCCCAATTAGCTCCTAATTGAGTTAATCCCGGTGCTATTCCGGATGCCCAGACCCACACAGGCCTCCAGGCTGGGCCATGTTTGCAGTGAGAGCTGATCACAAGCAATAATTTGGGATACTCCCTGTACCTTTTCTCTGTGTGGGCTGGGAATTGTTTAGGACCACGGAGCTTGTTTGGCCCTTTTCTGTCACTGCTTGTGGAAAATATTTCAGTAATTAAACTGGAAGTTCAGTAATTAAACAGGCAGCAAATAAAAGACTAAACTCAGGATTTCCAGCTAAAATGGGGGAACTGCTGGGATTTTGTCAGGGGGAAAGTGCTTGGGAAACACTGGGTGGAAAATATTTCCCTTCCTGCCGAGATGCTCAAGGAGTTGGTATTTTTGGGCCACTTCTCCTGCCTTTAATTTGTCTTTCTCCATGTTGATTAAGGTTTTATGCTGATCCCAGGGAAATGGAGCCTCATTCCACCTTTCCTAAGACTGTTTCACACCCGGCATCCCTTGGGAAGGCACCGAGGTGCCTCTCCTGCCTCTCCTGATCTCCTGCTTTCAACACAAGTGCTGACTCTTTGTTAAGTCACTGCGAGTCCTGAGTGGTTCCTGAATCCCAAAACCCATCTGACACATTCGGTGTTCCCGAAACACGGAGGATTTTTGGAAAGGTGGGAGGACAGGGCAGGGTTAAAGAACCAGGTGAGCAACCTAAATGCTTCTTTTGTATTGCTAAATTGCTGTTACAAACTGGAACAGTGTCAGGGCAAACTGTACCCAGGCTGCTTAATTGTGTTTTGTTCTGGCATCAGAAAAATATGGTCAATATTCTTCGGGAAAAAAAGACTCCAAGCAATTTTTGGCTCCTGACAACTCGCTGTGCTCAGTTCCTCGTGCTGAGTTTGTTAATGAAGAGCATCCAGCCAGCTGGCCTGGGCACCTCTAGATTTTGTGCTTGGCCACCTCAAAGTGCCTTGAAAATGGGGTTTGACATGGGGGGGCTCAAGGCAAATTCCGGAGTCACACCGAGAGCTTTTCCAAAGGATCCCAAAGCAGGGAGTGAGCTGCTGCCTGCACCCTTTTCAGCAATGCCAGATATTTCTGATCCTCCTGACGCACTCGAGAACCATCTTATCAAGGTAACATCCATTTCATGAATGGCAATGCCAGAGCAATAAATTACCCAATTCCTTTTAATTACAAGTTGAGAAGAAATTTGTCAGCGTGTTGTGTAACTCTGACGCCCCCGGCCCAGCCCAGAGCTCCTCAAGGGCTGGGCAGAGGGTTTCTAGAAAGGCTTGCTGGGAGGTTTGCCACCAGCACGTGGAGATACCTCCCCCAGGGTTGGCCTTTTGGGGCCAAAAGGCAAAAAAATGGGGTTCTTTGTCTATGAGGCTCTTTCTGCCCCGTGGTCGTGCCTGGAGCCAGCCCTGAGCTGTGCAAGGCAGCCCTTGGGGTCTTGCTGGGGGGTTTGGGTCTCCAGCTGTGTGGGAATGGGGTGTGGGGGAGAGTTGTCAGCATCTGAAAATCTTTATTGTCTCTTTCTTTTCCTTTGGAGCCCAAAGTGGGGCTGTGGCAGTGCCCAAACCCTGTCTGGGCAGGGCAATGTCAGGGCGTTAAACAAGCACGAGGTGTCTGAACTGCAGTGTCTAAAAACCCATTCCAACCTCCAAATTGGAATGGCTCAAAACCCCTCCCAAACTCTGAATTGTAATGGCTCAAAACCCTTCCAAACTCCAGATTTTGGCTCTGTGCAGTCACAGATGATACAGAGGAAACTGTGCCATGAAAGGAGAGTTTATTTCAGCACCCACAGACAAAGCTCAGGAGAGGTCACAGGACTCGCCAGGGGAGGGGGAGACATTTTCTTTGGGAGTTGCTGGGGTCATGCAAAGCTTTCTGAACTCGGCACAGGGTCAAGGACATGCCTGGGTCACCTGCAGATGAGGCTCTGATCACTTCATCTTTGAGGATACTTGGTAGATTTGCTGCTGGCACTCCTGGGGGTTTCCATGGCAGGATCCACCACTGCTCCCATGGCAGGATCCACCACTGCTCCCGTGGCATCCGGATCCACTGCTCCTGTGGCATCCAGATCCACCACTGCTGCCACGGCATCCAGATCCACTGCTCCTGTGGCATCCAGATCCACCACTGCTCCCATGGCAGGATCCACCACTGCTGCCACGGCATCCAGATCCACCACTGCTGCCACAGCATCCAGATCCACTGCTCCTATGGCATCCAGATCCACCACTGCTCCCATGGCATCCGGATCCACTGCTCCTGTGACACCCTTCACTGCTGTGGCAGGAGGATCGTTCCTGCTGGTGGCACTGGTCTTTGTCCTGGCGGGAGCACATCTTTGGAGACCTGCTGGGAAGACTCATCTTTGAGTGAGTGCCACGGCGAAGAACACTGCAAGTGTCCGAGGCCGGGTTGGACGGGGCTTGGGGCAACCTGGGCTAGTGGAAGGTGTCCCTGCCCATGGAACGGGGTGGAACAAGATGATTCATACGGCCCTTTCCCACCCAAACCATTCCATGATTCTATGATTATAATCCAGGTTCTTGAAGAAGAGAGAAAAATTAGCAGCCCATGTCTGCCCATGCTGGTCCTCTGGGCAAATCTTTCCCTTCTGTCTTTAGAGAGAAGCTAAAACTCCCAGGGATGAGTGAGAAGGGGTGGAAAGAGTCCTAAGAAGTCCTCAGCCATCTGAGCCAGCAAGTTTTATGTTTTCCAACTTGCTTTTTATTCTTTATCTACAGAAACGGATGAAGAAGACAACGAGGCAGAAGGTCTGAGCCAGAGACAGTCACAGGGATGGGACACAGGAGGCCAAGAGCTCGGGGTTGGGGCAGGGCTGGTGAGTATCAGAGGTGCCAAAGTTTGATCAGGCTGCACTTACCCCGTTCAGCAGCAGCTCAGAGGAGACGTGAGGCCGAGGTGATGAGGAGCGAAGGGGCACGAGGGCTTTTATAGGGCACCCCGTGCGTTCCCTCCGGAAACCAGATGGGGCCCCACTGGAGGGACTTGCTTGTTCAGCACCCCGAGCACTTTGCTAATTGGGAGTTTTTGCCCTGCTGATTTGACTCATGGTGCTGGGAGCAGATCGATATCCCGCCGTTCCCCTCGTTACTCCAGAAAAATGTTAATTGCCCACCACGCCTGGCCCGGGGACGGGCAGGTTTCTGGACGGCCTTGTTGCCTTTGACTGCACAATTTACCTGTTTCTTGGGCTTAATGCAAAGCAGCCACGAGCCCAAACTGGGAAGGGACAAATATTAGGGGAAGGTGGGATTGTGGGGTGGGCTGGTGGGCTGGGTTATGGAGGGAACCCAAAAATAAAAGGGAACAAATGAGGCCATGGTGGTGTGTGGAAAAAATAAACGTATTTGGGCAGCGTGGGAAAAAAAGAATCTGGGTTGTGAGTGGGTGAAGGAGACAAAGGGGATTAGGGCTGCAGGTATGAGGGTGGCAGAAGGGGATCACAGAGCCTGGGGCTGGTCTGTGCGGGGGGTGACCTGAAAACAAGGACTGTGCCCTCCAGGAGCCCCTGGACCAGCACTGGGGCTCGGCCCTGGGGGGTTACAAAGGCAGTCGAGTCACCCCTGGGCTCTAAAGCTCTCACTGAGGTTTGATTTGGGGGTTTAGAGGTGGGACATGGCCAGGTGAGGCTTTGCATCAAACTCCTGCTGACCATGGGAGTGGGCGAAGGCAGGAGGGGGGACATGGGCAGGGAGCAACATCAGAGACCCCTAATTCTGAGTAAAACCAGCCAGGAGGCACTGAAAGGAGCCTTGCAAGAGTCCAAGCCAGTCTTTTCATTACTCAAGGGCTTTTAAGCCAAACAGAAGGAATTTAAAGCTCCACAGGAGCCCGAGAGCATCCAGGCTGGAGGGGGAGGACATTGGGATCAGCATCTTCACTGATTTAATGCTCTGTTTGGGGGAGAAAAGTGTCTTTCTGCCTATGGATCTCCCCAGGGCTGATCTCAGCCAGGACTCTAGAGGCCACTGTAATATTAATAATGCCACAGATTGAATTGGAATTAAAATGCAGAGTTGAGGAGACTCATCAGCCCCCAGAGGAGCTGAATCACCTGAAGCAACTGAGAGATGAGGAAACCGGAACGTGACTCGGGATATTTCACAAACGCCGGGAGAACAAAATCCTTGTGAAACTTGGATCCACGATCCATTCCAGCCCAGGTCACGTGGATGGAGAGAAACCTGTTCATCCTTTCTGTCGGTGACAGAGGCCCCTGAGTGTGGCCTGGAAGGGAGGACACTCGTGGGAGACCCCGACAGGACCATACTGACCCCTCAGCTGGTCTCTGAGCCCTCACATCTCCTGCAGAGCTCCTGCTCTTCAGGAGAGGCTTCCCTGAGTCCCCTGACAATATTTTGAGTGCATGGTGGCTTTTTTTTGGGGGTAATTTGTTGGTTTTATGGAAGGAATTGCCTCTGGGACGTTGCAAGGATGGCCTGTGGAGGTGTTGGGGCAGCGTGTGGCCACCTCTAAACCCTCCACCCCAGGAAGGTGCCCTTGCACCTGTTCCTGCTTCTTTTCCTTATTCAGGTGGTGCTGCAGGAGAAATCTCCCCCATTAGTGCTGGGAAGCAGCTGATTCCGTGATGTGTCACGTCCTGGGGAGATGGAGCTGAGGGAGGCTCTCACCTGGGTTAGGTGAGGTGCCAGGAGCCTCCGAGGACACAGTGCTGTGAGTCACTGGCTCCAGATCCCTGCTTTGCTCCAGAAATCCTCCCTGGTGATCCCTCTCCCAACCCCACCAGGCCTTATCTAACCAGGAGTTCGGGGCCTTTCACCCTGTTAGAGCCATTCCTGAATTCTCTCCCTGACTTTTTTCCCAGGGCTTTTTTTTGGAGGTTTGTGGTGCAAGTCCAGCTGTTCCCATTGCCTCATGGGTGGATGAAATGAAGTGCCAGGCAGACCCTCTCATTTTTACCTCTCTGATGAAATGTGAGGTTTTTTTCCATGACTATATTGCTATTTAATTACTGTGTTGCACAAACATGATGAAAACTGTTATTTCCTCTCAGCAAGGAAGTTCGCCAGGGGAGGAATCAAAAGACATCAGGCTGAACCAAGCAGGAGCCTCACGAGGGTGCAAACACCAGCTTTGGCCACAAGAAGGACCAGAAGCAGCTCGAAGGGATGAAGTGGAAAACACTGATGCCGAGGGGGGTTTTGAGCCATCATTTTTTATTGCCTCCACGTCTGCTGTGAAATAAGGAGGGGAAGAGCATTTGATATTTCACAGAGAGCGTGGGTTATGCCTTCAAAGCACGTTACAAGCAAGATGACAGAGCAGAGCCCCACGAGCAGAACAGGACGTGGGGCCCATCAGAGGGTGCAGGAGTGAGACGTTCCCTTCATTTGTCCTCACTCCTCTTGTCTTCTACTTTATCTTCCGGGCTGGAATTTTGCAGACCTGCTTCTGCTGCTGGCTTGGGATGCCCTTTGGCACGGGCACACAGCCTTGCTGGATTTGAGGGGGACAGACCTGCACCGGAGGGGGACAAACCTGCACTGGAGGGGGACAAACCTGTGCTGGAGGGGGACAAACCTGCACTGGAGGGGGACAAACCTGCACTGGAGGGGGACAGGTCTGCACTGGGACACACTTTGGGGCACACTTAGGGGCGCTCTGTGGGATGCACTTTGGGGCACACTTTTGGGCACTCTGTGGGATGCACTTTGGGGCACATTTTTGGGCGCTCTGTGGGATGCACTTAGGGCTGCTCTGCGGGACACACTGTGGGATGCACTGTGAGGCCTTCCCATAGCTCAGCTTGCCCCCCTGGTACCCCGAGCCGTGGCACGTCTCCGAGCACACCGACCTGCCATAGCCCTGGCACCCCCCTGACAACCCCGAGCTGTACGTGGGCCTCCTGACACAGCTCGAGCCCCCTCCGTGGCACGAGCCGGATGATCCCTGGCACCTCTCGGAGCAGACGGACCTCCCGTAGCCCTGGCAGCCCCCTGCTGATCCCTGGCACCTCTCGGAGCAGACGGAGCGCCCGTAGCCCTGGCAGCCCCCCGAGGAGCCGTAGCTGTAGGTGGGTCTCCGGACGCAGGCGGAGCCCCCCTGGCAGCACTCGGAGGAGCCGGAGCCGTGGCACCTCTCGGAGCAGCCGGACTGCCTGTAGCCGTAGTGCCGGTAGTCGTGGCCACACATGCCCTGGACGCCCTCGCCGTCACAGCCCGAGGAGCAGCAGTTGGCGTAGCCGTAGCGGAACGGGGTGCGCCGGGTGTCCAGCCACGACCCCGAGGGGTCGTACCAGGTGGAGTTCAGGTTGAAGTAGGATTCTCTTCCAGAAGAGCAGATCATTGTTGAGCTGTAGGGAAAAACCTGGAAAACAGCGGGCTGCTGTCACCGTCTCCTCTGGTTTTGTTTGACTCCCCATAAGGCCCCGTTAGTGAGACGTGACCGGGTCACACCCGACTATCCTGAGGGTCTGGGTCTAAAGGAAACACCTGCAGCTGCCCAGTGCTGGTCAGATTAAGTCCAAACCCTCTTTCTGACCTTCCCCTTCATATTTTTCCCTCCAGGAACAGAACCAACCAAAAGACACCATGCATGTAAATCCCACACCCAAGTCCCTCAAGAGCTTCTTTCCTGGCTTAGCCCGTGGTGCCAATCCCACACCCACGTTTCCCAACAGCTTCTGTCTTGGCTTAGCCCATCATTCTTGAAGGTTCAAGTGTAATAAGTCAGGTCTGTGACCTCCTGAATCCAAACCCCATCCAAAAATGACCCAGGGCTGTGTCTTACCCCGTTCCCAAGGGAAGGCAGGCGCTGACCAGGGGAGCAGATTGTGACAGGCAAAGGGACCGGGGCCTTTTATAGGGTTCCAAGTCTTCCCCTTGTAAATGAAACACTCTGCAGGAACGAGGATTAAATTATTTATTGGCAAAACATCTCCTCCATTTGGATGCTGTTCCCATGTCCTGTTTGACTCACGATTTCTGATAAGCATCTTTAATTACCCAGCGGGGCACATAAAAGACTTACAGCGTTTAAGGCACACATTGTCGTGTGAGGCAGGTAATAAAGTACTTATTCACCATCTCCAGAGCACCAGGACATTGATGTGTGACCTGTGAGTCAGGAGCCACGGTGTGCCCAGGCTTAACGACCCGGCCTTCCCCTTCTGCTGCCCAGGAGGGACATTTCCAGGAGGTGCCTGAAGCACAAACAGGTGATTGGGAAGAGCCAGCTCAGAGTCACCAAAAGCAAATTGTGCTGATGGGTTTCGGTGATGAAGAGGTTGGTTCTGTGCAGGGGGAGGCCCTGGCACAGATTGCCCAGAGAAGCTGTGGCTGCCCTGTCCCTGGAAGTGTCTAAGGCCAGGTTGGGACAACCTGGGATAGAGGAAAGTGTCCCCATGGCAGGGAGTGGAACAGGATGATCTTTAAGGTCCCTTCCAACCCAAACCATTCCAGGATTCCATGTGCTGGTTTAGATGGGATATTAGGAAGGAATTCTTCCCTGTGAGGGTGGGAAGGTCCTGGCACAGGTTATTTCATGGGTGCCCCATCCCTGGAAGTGTCCAAGGCCAGGCTGGACAGGGCTTGGAGTGGCCTGGTCTTGTGGAAGGTGTCCCTGCCCACAGCAGGGGGTTGGAACTGGATAATCTTTAAGGTCTCCTCCAACCCAAGCCATTCCATGACTCCATGAGTTTGATGGATGGTGCTGCCTCAAGGTTTTTGGCACAGTTTCCCACAGCAGCCTCATGGTCTGGACTGTTCATCCAGTGTGGACTGGGTGGATGAACTACACGGGGGGTGAAAAACTGGCTGACACTGGTGCTGGTCCTGTTTGAGATCTTCATTAATACCCTGGATAGTGGGGTGGACTTGGCAAATCTACAGGTGGCACCAACTTGGGGTGAGGGGCTGAAACTGCTGGAGAAACGGTCCTGTGGCTGGGATGGACTGGGATGGACTGGGAGGGCTGGGCTGGACTAACTGGGCTGGGAGGGCTGGGGTGGCAAGTGAAAAGCAGTTTGGAAGATAAGATGGACCAAAGCTGACCTGGAAATGCTGGTCAGGGCTAAACTCAGTCTGTGGGCTCTGAGTCACTGCACTGGGTCACTGCCTGGGAACTGGGAAGAGGCTGGGAAGAAAACAGTTTATAAAACAAGGGATTTCCTAAGTCAGATTTCATATACAAGTGGTGTTTTGTTTGGGTAAAATTAGACGTGAGAAAAACAAACTGTTGTGGTGAAATTAGACATGAGAAAAACAAACTGTTGTGGTGAAGAAAAAAAAGAAGAAACTCCTTTTTCCCTTTCCAGTTTTCCTCGGGGGTTCTGCGAGGACACACTTGAGCAACACAGAGAAGCAACATTAGATATTTTAATGCACCTTGTGGGAGGCTTTCCTGGCAAAGTGAGAGAGAAAAGGCAGGTTTGCAGCGCCTGTGAGAGCCGGGGAGCTGCGGGGGAAGAGCCGCATCTTCCCGCGGGAGTGAAAAGGCATCCCTGGCACGCACAGCCACACCTCACGTGCCGGGCCACGCGCTCATTAAGGTGATTAGCATTTAAATGAGGGTGTTGTGGCCGCGCGGGGCTCTCTGGGTGAGGAAGGTACTGGAACGCGCACGGAGCTGATTGACTGTGCCTCCATCTGCACCGCAGCGGATCCATCCCGCGGTCCTGTGCTGGGTGACCACGGCGGGAGGATTTTGCTGGTGAAACCCCTTCGGCCAGAGCTGAAACCCTCAGGTGTGAACCCTAATTTTGACCCGAAGTTTCCTCGTGAGAATTTTAATGGCTTTTAACATCTCGTTGTAACGTTGGTGATGTTTTGGGGGGTTAAAAAAAAAAAGGAACCAATTGTCTGCTAATTTTTTTTCAGCTTTATTCTCTAATACACGGGGAGAAAATAAATGTGCAGGAGTCCCTGATGCTCCTGCAGTCACAGTGGTTACTTTTTTTCCCAGTAAAGTCCTGTTGCTGTTTTCAAACATCTTTGAAATCAAAGTCCACTGAACCCACGGGAGAAGGCGAATCCGTGGCAGGATGTTCCTCCATCTCCAGGTTGCTCAGACGAGGGAAAAAACAGCTTCTCTTCCCCAAGGAAGACCAAAGCCCGGCAGGGGAGGGCGCTGGGAATTTAAAGTGTCAGTGCTGGGGCCGAGCAGGGGGTTGGGACCCCAAATCTGATGTGCAGAGAGCGGCAATGAACCATCAGCCACGGGAGCATCATTTGGGCAAGGAGTGGAACCCCCCCCAGCACCGACTGGGGACATGGGGAGGGGTCCCAGATGCTGGGGAAGGATTCCAGACCCCGAGGAGGGGCCTCAGACCTCAGTGAGGGGTCCCAGCACCTCACTGTCCCCGTACTCAGCACTTCTGCACACAGGGTGGCAAGAGAGTGACCTGCTTTTGCTGGTGGTGGCCTGGGTGTGGTGGCAGGGGGATGGGGGCCGGGCAGCACCTCTGGACGGGTGGGTGGCACCTCTGGACGGGTGGGTGGCACCTCTGGACGGGTGGGTGGCACCTCTGGATGGGTGGGTGGCACCTCTGGACTGGTGGGGGGCACCTCTGGACAGGAGGGGGGCAACACGGGACGCAGGGGCGGCGATGCTGCAGGGGCAGGGGCTGCAGGACCACGGGGGGACTGTCATCCTCGGGGGGACTCTGCTCCACCCTCCTCCTGGGCTTCCCGCAGGACTCCTGGTCCTGGCAGGGCGGGGAGGGCCGGTACTGCTGCAGGGGCCGGCGGTGGATCCTGGCGGGCGGGGGGCACGGGGGGGGTGTGTGGTTCACCTCCACCCGCCGGCGGGGCTGGCAGCTCTGCTGGGGTGGGCACGGCTCGGGGGGCTGGCAGCCCTGGGAAGCGCTCTGGCAGGACCCATCAAGGTCGTGGCTGAGGCTCCCGGGGCTTTCGTGGCAGCTCCCGCTGGATCTGGGCCATGTCCCGGCACAGCCCGAGCTCTCGTGGCACAAGTCCTGGTCGCTGAGGCCCTTCTGGTAGTGCATCCTGGGGCAGAGATCATGGAATCATTCCTAGAATCTTTGAGGTTGGAAAAGCCCTCCCAGGTCACTGAGTCCCCCCTGTTCCCCATCCCCACCTTGGTCCCCAGCCCAGAGCACTCAGTGCCACATCCAGTCCTTCCCTGGACACCTCCAGGGCTGGGGACTCCCCCCCTCCCTGGGCAGCCCCTGCCAAGGCCTGACCACCCTTTCCATGGGGAAATTCCTCCTGATGTCCAACCTGAGCCTCCCCTGGCACAGCTTGAGGCCGTTTCCCCTCCTCCTGTCCCTTGTTCCCTGGGAGCAGAGCCCGACCCCCCCCCCGGCTTCCCCCTCCTGTCAGGGAATTCCAGAGCCAGAAGGTCCCCCCCTGAGCCTCCTTTCCTCCAGGATAAGCCCCCCCAGCTCCCTCAGGAGTTCTCCTCAGGTGACTCACAAGCCATATGATCAAGCCCTCGGGAATAAACCGTCTGGGAAAAAGCAACCAAACCACAACTCCTTTTTTTTTTTGCCATTTCAGTGAAAAAATAGTGAGGAACCTGAGAGAGCTGAGAGAATCCAACTCACCCTGGGAGCGGGACGGACGGGCTGGGCAGGGAGTCGGAGTTCTGGGGACAGAGCTGGGGCTGAAAGCTTTTATATGTGGTCAAGCTCTCTTGGGAATGAGACATGCCCTGGGAATGAGGAGCCGAGCTCTGCCACGGCCATGTGTGTGTTTTGTTCTGGCACTTGCTGTTGGATTAATCAGCCCCAATTAGCATCTCCCTCGGTGGAACGTCAGCTCAGCTCCTTTGCATGTGCACTGGCCCATTATCTAATTAGTTCTCCCACTGGTCATGCTCAGATGTGCTGTTACCTCCTGTCAGTCAGATGGGATCCTGGGATAAGGATACCTGGAATACCGGGATGCTGAGTGATGTGCCCAAAAGGAGACTCTCGTGGCAGTGGGAAAACCACAGGAAGGCCCAGGAGTCCTTCCAGAGCGTGGGGAGGGAATCCTGGGTGACATCAGGACCATGAGGAACAGCAGGTGTTGCTGCCCCGTGTGTGACTGGAAGACTTGAGGTCCAAACCCAGGATCCCTACGGACACCAGGAGCAGGGATGGACCAGGGCAGGCTGGGGATGGGATGTTTATTCCCTTATTTAAATGAATTCATTCCCTTCCAGGTCAGGAGCACCTCGGCCAAGTGAGTGACTACGGCAAGGAAAAGCCTTTTATGTGTGGAAAATCTGCTTTTATGTGTGGAAAATCTGGAATGAGGGCAGCCAGAGGAGCAGTGACCTCATGGACCAACGATTCCAGCATATCCAGCTTTCTGAAATTTTCCTTTGACCCATTTTCAGTGCAGCTGCTCCATTTTGCATTTCTGTGGACGGGTCGAGGCATTTTTAAGGACCAGGAAAACATCTCTGCCAGCAGCCCCCAGGGCAGGAGGCATTTCCATGCACTCCCTCCACGGTGGAGCCTCTCCAAGGGATGCTCAGAGGTTTGTCCAGTGGAATTTGGGTCTGAATCACCAGGGAAAGCATGTGCAGAATTCAGGGGTGTGGTTTCAGGGCTGTGCTGGAGATAATTTATTCTGTAGCTGCAGGAACAGTGTCACTGCCTTGCAGGAAGCAGGGAAAGGTGGAAAAGAACTTGGTATCTGTCAAGGCCAATGAAGATTTAGATTTAGAACTCGTTGCTAGTGTCCCAGGATTATGCTGGGCTTGGATTTAAAAGAGTGGTTTTGGAGTCACTTCCCTTCCTGAGGATTTCACAAATCACCAAGTGCAAATATTTAATTTCTTAATCTTGTCTCTTAAATTTTGCCATATTTGAATAGAATTCCAGATAAATTAGGTACTATTTCTGAATCCATCAGGCTGGACTTATATCTGGGGCTCTGGGCAACCTGGTCTGGTGGGAGATGTCCCTTCCTGTGGCAGGGGGTGGAATGAGATGATCTCTAAAGTCCCTTCCAACCTAAACCATTCTATGATTCTGTGATTCTGCCACTGACTCCCTCCCTCTGTGCAGACCACACTTCCTGGACCATTTAAACTTACTGACAAGATATCAAACCTCTTAAAAGGTTTATCAAACCTTTTAAATCTCAGCAAATTCCCTGGAAAGAATTCCATTAGGAAAAAAGACCTTTAGCTCTGGCTTTAGGGCTGCACAGATGCTTTGATTGCAAACTGTGTCTCCAAAGTCAAAGCAGGGGGAAGAGAATGAAACTGGGTGACCAAGGGGTTGCTGAAACAACACTGATGAGTCCTGCTTTCCCTTGGATGAGAGGCTGACCCACCACTCTGGGGTGTTGGAATCAGCAGAATGACAAATAGTTGCAAAATTAATTACATTAAGAAATTAAACAAATGCTAAAAATGTCCCAGACCGGAGCTCTGGTTTAAAAGAGAAAGATAAATGAATAAATGAATAAACATAACCCAGGAGTTTGCAGGATCATAACTGACACATTTTATTATGATTCACGACTAATTAGAGGTTAAAGGGAGGAAAGGGAGAACTGACAGCATCCAACATCCCACACACCCAGGGAAGAGGAGCAGCGGGCCCAGGGCTCACGGAGGGAAATCCCACCCAGCGCTGGGCGGCGACTGCACGAGCACTGGGTGACCAAAGGCAGGCTAAGGACAGGAGATCTAAAGTCTCTAAGCAAAGCAGGGGTGGTGTCCAGGTCCATATCCACGTTTGGAATCACAGGTGAGCCGGGAGGGCAGCGGGCAGGGCCGGGGGCTCAGTTGCCGCCGCAGCAGCCGCCGCAGCAGCCCCTGTTGTTGTTGCTGATGGTGTAGCAGCAGGACATGGGCATGCAGCAGGACTGCACGGGCATGCAGCAGGGGCTGCAGCACTGCATGGGGGAGCAGCACATCGGGGTCTTGCAGCACGAGGGGGTGCTGTAGCAGGTCATGGAGTAGCTTCCTCCTCCGCAGCAGCCGCAGCCTCCGTTGGGCATCTTGTTGGTTGGAGAGTTGGCAAAGCTGGGAAGAATCACAGAATGTGCTGAGCTGGAAGGGACCCACAAGGACCATCCAGTCCAACCGTCAGCCTGCACAGGCCCATCCCCAAGAGTCACACCCTGTGCCCCAGAGGATCATCCAAACCCTCCTGGAGCTCTGGCAGCCTTGGGGCTGTGCCCACTGCCCTGGGGAGCCTGGTCAGTGCCCAACCACCTCTGGGGGAAGAACCTTCTCCTGATGTCCAACCTGACCCTGCCCTGACACAGCTCCAGCCATTCCCTGGCTGCTGTCCCTGGTCCCCCCAGAGCAGAGCTCAGTCCTGCCCCTCCTCTGCCCCTTCCCAGGAAGGTGGAACTGCAGAGTTTGGTTTTTTTCTCTGCCTGAATCTCCTGGTTCTTTAGGCAGCTTAAAGCCTTCTTATCCCAAAGTCCATCCCAAAGTCCCTGGCATCTGGGATCTCAGGGACAGCTCCATGTTTTTGGGTTGGACACCCGTGCACTTGGAATATTGTCCAGCACTGGTTCCATCAGAGGGAAACCACCCAGGCAAAGCTGGGAGGAGCAGAGAGAGTCTGCGACCGGGAGCAGGAGGTTTGGAAGTACAGAATTCATTCAAAGCTCTGGTTGTGCTCAACTTGGAGGTTTGAGGAGGTGAAACCAAGGGTTGTCTTGTTTTGTAAATCTTGGTTGTAACTCCTCTTTTTCCTCCAATGTCGGTCCCGCCTCCTCATTCCAGGGCATCCCTAATTTCTTAGGAAGAGCAGCCCAGCACAGTGCATGCAGTCCTCAGGCTGGGCCCTCCTGGAATGTTCTCCATCCCCCTGCTCTGCCTGACCCTGCTGGTGCTCCTGGAGCCTCCTTTAATATTTCCAGGCCCCGTAACTCCTCGTGCAGAGTTTATAGAAGCCCAGCTCCCAAACCCCATCCCAGATCCCCAGTTAGATCAGGATACTGCTCTCAGATATCCAAGATTTCCTTTTGGGGAATGAAGGGAGATTCAGAAGTTCTCACTTACCCTGTTGAAGAGTGAGGAGAGGTGAAGGGAGGAGAAGACGAGCGAATGAAGCGAGCTGGGCCAGGAGACCTTTTATAGTCCTCAACACCTTCCTCCTGGAAGTGAGACAGCCATTGACCATCCCAGTTTCCCTGTTTACCAACCCAAACCCATATTTTTTAGCTCTACGTGTCGCCTGGTATTTGCATTTTGCCCTATTACTTGTGATCACTACCTTTGTTGGGCCCCATAATTGTTTAGCCTGCAGATAATCAAAGGGCTTCTATGAATACTGATGAATTTGTCCTCCCCACAACCTTGCAAGGGAGCCAGAAAAATGCATCCTCGTATCTGTTTGACAAAGGCAGGCAGCGAGGGCCGGGGATGTTCTGGGCCTTACTCAGCACTCGCCGCTGCTGAGTCAGTGCAAGGCCCGAAACTGAGCCCCGGCCTCGTGTCTCTGGGCCTCGTGATGGGTGGTTTCATCAGGCTGGTGTTTGAAACACGGGTTTGGGAAACGTCATGGAAATGGGGCTGTTTGTTCCTGTCACGGGGACGGGCACGTGAGGAGGGAGCGAGAAGTGATGGGGACCCGTCGGGAGTCACCCGAGCTCGGGGCTCAGTCACCCGCACGTGAGTCCTGCAAGGCTGTGGAATCAAGGCATGGTTTGGGCTGGAAGGGACCTTAAAGATCATCCATTTCCACCCCCTGCCATGGGCAGGGACACCTTCCACCAGCCCAGGTTGCTCCAACCTGGTCTTGGACACTCCCAGGGATGGGGCAACCACAACTTCTGTGGGCAACCTGTGCCAGGGCCTCCCCACCCTCCCAGGGAAGGATTTCTTCCTAATATCCATCTAACCCTCCTCTCTGTCAGTCTGAACCCATTCCCACTCATCCTGTCACTCCAGGCCCTTCTAAATAGTTTCTCCTCATGTTTCTTGCAGGATCCCTTCAGGCCCTGAAAGGCCACAATCAGGTCACCCCAAAGCTTCTCTTCTCCAGGCTGAACAATCCCAACTCTGCAGCCTTTCCTCCCAGCAGAGCTGCTCCATCCCTCTGCTCCATCCCTCTGCTCAGCTCCCCCGGAGTGGCTCCAGCAGCTCCATGTGCTCCCTGGGCTGTTCCCTGGGGCTGGAGCAGCTCTGCTGGGGGGTCTCAGCTCTGCTGAGGGGTCTCAGCTGAGGGGGCAGAATCCCCCCTTGCCCTGCTGCCACAGGGGAGTTCTGGGCTGGGTCATGTCCAGCCTCTCCCCCACATCTCACCCTCATGCACCCCGAGAGCATCTTTGGGGTGCCAAAACTATCTTTGATTTTTGGTTTGTCCAAACTTTTGCAAATCCAGTCTGGGGGGGGGTCAGGTTTGTGTGCAGGCATTGCTAAACCAAGGTTGGGGTTTGTGATGCTTTGCTGGGACTGCTTTCCTAGAAACCCCTTCAAAACCTCTGTATTGAGTATTCCCTTCTGAATAGTTATGATTTTATTTATTAATTTTATTTTTATTAATATTTTATTAATATTTCTCTTTTACATTAAAAATTTAAGGGGCAGCTCTGCCTGTGCAGGCAGCAACACGAGGAATGGTGGCCCTGGGACTGGGTGTGATGCAAGTCAACGAGTCCCTCCTGCAACCTCCCCTTCCATCCTCCTGAAATCCTCTTTGCTGAGCCCTGGTCCCAAAAGGAGCACCCTCAGCTCCTCACCAGGGAGGGAGGGGCTTTAGGTGGGTGCAGGACCCTCTGTGGGTGTTGGAAATGGAAGGAGCCCAGAATGAACCAAAGGATGAGAAGGTTGAGGTGACCAGCACAGAGAACTGGTCCTGCCTGGGCTCACGGAGCTGAGTGGGAGGTGAAACCATTATCTGGGAGGGAAAGAGGAAGGGAGGAAGGTCAAGGTAAAGCAGAGCCTTGGGCAGGGTGGATGAATCCTTGTTTAACACTTTGCTCTGGGGCTCAGTCCTGGCAGGAATGGGAGGTTTGGGAGGAATTTTTTCCACGGTCTGAAATTGCAGCTCCCATCGGAGGAGCTCGTACATTATCCTGGGAGCTGCCTAATGAGAGGATGGTGGAGCCTGCCTGGCGAGTTCCCTCTGCTTCCTCACATCCCTGGGGATCCCTGGGGTGCTCTGCAGAGGGGTCCTCTCGGGTGAGCTGCCCCCAGCCCCCAGGATGATCACAGTGGCCTTGCTTTGCTTTCTGCACAGTGCAAAGGGGGAGCAGATTGAGATTTTAGTGCTGTTTCAGCCCTGCAGGAAACGCTGCCAACTCCTTTCCAGGCTTCCCTGGCATGAGAATAATTCCTTGAGTGAAATACTGGAGAACAGCACATGTAATTGCAACTTCTCCAGACAGGGCAGAAGAACACGTGTGGCATTTCCTCCCCAGCAGGTCCCCTCTGAGGAGGAACCAAGTTCCCAGCCCAAGAGAACTGATTTATTTATTCACTTACAAGGAATTAATGGGGCAGAAGTGAAGGCAAATGCTTCACTTGTGCCTCCAGAGGGAAATTTTCCATAGGCAAGTCCTGCAACTGTGAGAAGGGCTGATCCAGGGGGGCATTTCCCACCAGGGGAGTCGTGTCCAGCTGTTGGTGTAACCGAGGTGCTCAAACCATCTTTGGGGAGTGGGATACGGATCAGAATGCAAGGAAGGGACATATCAGTGTGAAAACAGAGCGAGAAAAGGGCATTAAACGCATAAAAAGGACTGTGGTGCAGTTTTTGAGGGTTTTGGTTCAACTCCAGCTGATCCTCTCACTCCTCAAAGGCAGCGGAGCTTTCTCAGGATTTGTCCTCCCACTTCAACTCAGTATCTGGTTGTTTTAGCAGAGGCAAGACCTCTATCTCCTAAGTGTCAAACCGTTTATTTGGCTGTCTGTAGGTCCTGAGGCAGATCTCTGGCTGCTTGAAATCCAGGGAGCTTTCCTGTGTCAGGCTGTTTCAGAAGGGGCTCATGTCCTTCGTGAGTTCATTGTCTTATTTTCGCAGGATCACAGAATGGTTTGGGTTTGGAGGGACCTTAAAGCTCACCCCATTCCACCCCCTGCCATGGGCAGGGACACCTTCCACTACCCCAGGTTGCTCCAAGCCCTGTCCAACCTGGCCTTGGACACTCCCAGGGATGGGGCAGCCACAGCTTCTCTGGGCAATCTGTGCCAGGGCCTCCCCACCCTCACAGGGAACAATTTGTTCCCAATATCCAACCTAAATTTCCCCTCTGTCAGTCTGAACTCATCCCCCTTGTCCTGTCACTGCAGTTCCTGATGAACAGTCCCTCTCCTACTTCCCTGTAGCCCCTTCAGACACTGGAAAGCTGCTCTGAAATCTCCACACCACCTTCTCTTCTCCTATTTTCTTCCCATTTCTTTATTTTATACTGGGTGGAGAAATATTGCTCACAGAGGTGCCAGAAACCCAGCTGGTGCTTAAATTGAAGCATCAGGGATGCCCTGATTTTCTTTGTCCAGGAACCCCCCCCTCACCCCCATTTAACACCTTGGAAATAGGAACATCCCAACCCTGGAAAAACACCCAAGGAAAAGGCAGCGAACAAACACATCAACTCCAGGAGGTTTGCAGGGTCACAAACTACAGTTTATTGGGGTTGGTTTTTTTTCCAGACAGATTGAAGCAAAACAGTGACGAAAAGAATTCAACATCCCACAAACAGTGACGAAAAGAATTCAACACCCCAAGAGGAAAGCAAAGAGCAGGACCAGGGCTGGCAAAGGAAGATCCCGACGATCGCTGGGGAGCGGCTTCAAAGCCCTTCACGAGCACCTGGGGACGGAGGGCAGGAAGAGAAGGTAAGATCTACATCTCTAAGTGAAGGAGGAAGAACATTCGGGTTGTTATCCACATCCATATCCAAATCCAGCGGGGAGGAGCCAGGCAGGGCTCAGTTGCCGCCGCAGCAGCCGCCGCCGTTGTTGCCGCCGCAGCAGCCGCCGTTGTTGTTGCTGGTGATGGTGTAGCAGCAGGGCATGGACATGGGCATGCAGCAGGACTGCACGGGCATGCAGCAGGACTGCACGGGCATGCAGCAGGGGCTGCAGCACTGCATGGGGGAGCAGCACACGGGCCTCTTGCAGCCCTTGGAGCTGCTATAGCAGGTCACGGAGTAGCTTCCTCCTCCTCCGCAGCAGCCGGACATCTTGTTGGTTGGAGTGTTGGCAAAGCTGGAAGGAAAAGAGAGTTTGGGGTTTTTTTTCGCTGCCTGAATTGCCCAGCTTAAAGCATTCTTATCCCAAAGTCCATCCCAAAGTGGCTGGGGAGGTGCCTGGTGTCCAGAATCCCAGGGCAGCCTGTCCCTGAGATCTCCACGTTTTTGCATTGGATACACGTGCCTTTAGCACATGGTTCCATCAGAGAGAAACCACCCAGGAGGTGCCCAAACCCATCTCTGGTCCCAGGCCCATCTCTGGTCCCAAACTCATTTCTGGTCACAGACCAATCTCTGGTCCCAAAATCAATCCCTGGTCCCCAGATCTTCTGTAGGGCCTGGTCTCAAACCAGACAGCACTAAAAATCCTGCAGAAACCCACAGAAACCACGTCCAAAAGTAAAGGCAAGCAGCAAACTCCAACTTACCCTGATGACCAGGACTGGAGAGAAGTGGAGGTGAGTGAATGAAGACCCCTCTGCCAGGGAGCCTTTTATACTCTCCAAAACCTCTCCCCCTGGAAATGAGGCATTCCTTGGCTATTCTGACTCCCCTGGGGGTCACCCTGCACATCCTTCCCACGTGTCTTCCAGCATTTAATCTTCACCTCTTTCCTTTTGCTCACCTCCTCAATTCTGCCCCGTAATTACTCCTCCACACGAACAACAGACACAAATTTCCTAATGAATTTGCGTTAATGGCACCGGAGGCAGCTCTGAGGAAGCTCCACTTCCCCAGGGATGACCCCGGGACACACTCAGCAATGTGCCCGGGGCTGGGTGGGTGCTGAAGCAGTGGGAGAACCATGCCTGGAACTTGGAGATGTCCCCACTCGTGTGTCCCCTCTGCCCTTGGTGGGGAATTTTTGGGGACCAGTGGAAACTGTTGGTCAATGGGAATCCTTGTTTTCCTGTCCCTGGGGTCAAAGTTTAGGCTGAAGGGTTTCTTCTTTCTTAGCCTTGCTCTTGGGTCTCCCTTCAGGGGTCTGGGCCCTCACACTCCCTGCTTTTTATTTCTGTTATATATCAAGGGGTTTTTTTTTAATTTTCATCCATGGAATGGATGGATTAAATCAACCCCATGTGAGAAGAAGGTGTTGATGGTGCTTTCATGCCTTGAGAGGGGCCACCAACAAAAGATGAGAGTTCCAAGATGCTGAGGCAGTGCCTACTCATGGCAAATCACGTCCAGCAGACTCTGACTGTGGGGCTGATGTGGTGGCAGGTGATCCCTGGTGGCCGGGACATGAGGTATCTTCCCAGGATGCGACCGTGACGTTGGGTGTCCCTTCTGGAATTGTCCCCAGGGGAGCATTGTTTAGGTCACTGCATAATAGCCAGAAACTTGCCTGCAGGAAGCAGCGTCCTGCCTGTGTAAAGCCTCAGACATCTCCCCTGAATAAGTCACTCATCACGTTTTTATCGGGCTTTATTGTCGCCGTATTGGCCAAGATGGTCCCAATCATCACAGAAACAATAATTCTATAATCATAGAAATGTGGAATGGTTTGGGTTGGAAGAGAACACCAAAGGTCATCTAATCCAACCCTCCTGGATGGGCAGGGACAGCTTCAACTACATCAGGTTGTTCAGAGCCCTGTCCAACCTGGCCTTGGACACCCCCAGGGATCCAGGGGCAGCCACAGCTTCTCTGGGAAACCTGTGCCAGGGCCTCCCAACCCTCACAGGGGGGAACTTCTTCCCAATACCCAATCTAAACCTCATTTCTCTCAGTGGGAAGCCATTCCCCCTTGTCCTGTCCCTCCATCCCTTGCCCAAAGTCCCTCTCCAGCTCTCTTGAAGCCCTTTGGGCACTGGAAGGGGCTCTGAGGTTCTCCCTGGAACATTCTCCTCTCCAGGCTGAACCACCCCAACACTCTCAGCATTTATGGCATTTTTCCTGCTGTTAAATGTCATTTAATGTACAGTGGGGTCAGAAATGACATCTCCATGAAGTCCCTTTTACATGCCATGCCCTGTTCTGTGATGTCTTTGGGAACTTCTGTGGTGGTTCTGTGAGTTTGGGACCTGCAGGACCTTTGTGAGTGGGGCAGGATCTGACCCTGCAGCTTTTCCAGGTTGGATGGGGCTCTGAGCAACCTGGACTAGTGGAAGGTGTCCCTGCCCATGGCAGGGGGTGGAATGAGATGATTATTAAGGTCCCTTCCAACCCAAACCATTCCATGACTCCACGATGAAATTAATAATCACAAGATTTCCTTAACCAAGGCACTTCTGCTCTAGTTATGGTATAAAATATTCTCCTGCCAGTGAATTGTACATGATTTACCTCAGTAAAAGCCTCCTGAACACCTGAGAAGTGTTTTCAGAAGAGTCAAACAGGTAGAGAAGATGATTCTAACGCAGGTTGAGGAAGCAATCAAGCCAGTGCTCGGGGCACCTTCCCCAGACCTGCAATTCAGGGCTGACTCCTGCATTTTAATAGCAAAGAAAGTCCCAGCTGGGTAGGAAAGGTATCCCCGACTCATGTGTGGGCTATTCTAGGAATGAAGCTTTTAAGTTGTCTGTTGAGCCCTGGGTTTCATTCCAGCGCTCCGAGTCCAGGAAGGTGAGGAGGAAACGCTCTGCTCACGTAAGAACAATTCCCGTGGTTTCTGGGCTTTTATCTTTGGAAGATGGTAGTGGAAGAAGATGCTGCCTGTGCTCAGTGAGTAGTGAATTCCTCTCAGTACCTCTTGAAATACCCTTTCCAAGATAAGGGAGTTCCTGTACATCTCACTGGGCTCTAAAACTTCCTCCCGAGGGGTAACTCTGACCTCTGCTCTGTGTGACAGGGACAGGACCCAGGGAGCGGCTGGAGCTGTGCCAGGGCAGGGTTAGGCTGGATTTTAGGGAAAGGTTCTTCCCCCAGAGGGTGGCTGGGCACTGACCAGGCTCCCCAGGGCAGTGGGCACAGCCCCAAGGCTGCCAGAGCTCCAGGAGGGTTTGGGCAACGTTCTGAGGGACAGGGTGGGATTGTTGGGGTGACTGTGCAGGGCCAGGGGTTGGATGGATGGTCCCTGTGGGACCCTTCCAGCTCAGGACATTCCATGATTCTATGGTTTATGGAGTGGTGTGTTTTCAGGTGGTGGGATTATGCCTCTATCAGTCCATGTCATTTGAGTTTTAATTGCCTTAACCTTTAAGTTTTACAGTAAACGCTGAGTTGTGGCAGATGATCAGGAGGGGCAAGAAGGGATCCTGGAATCATGGAATGGTTTGGGTTGGAAGGGACATTGAAGATCATCCAGTTCCACCCCCTGCCATGGGCAGAGACACCTCCCACTATCCCAGGTTGCTCCAAGCCCCGTCCAGCCTGGCCTTGGACACTCCCAGGGATGGGGCAGCCACAGCTTCTCTGGGAAACCCATTGCAGTGGCTCAGGCTGCTCTGCTTCAGACAGGACCTAATTTGTGCCAGCAGACTGGGCAGCTCTTTGTTCCCTAAATGTCCTGCTGTGCCTCTGGAGCTCGTCTGCAGCCAAAGGCACAGATGGCACTGGAACAAGGACAAATTCTGGGCAAAGCCGGGAAAGAACAACCAAAAGAGCAGAGGTTGCATTTTGCTTAATGCTCAGTTTTATTGTCTACAAGCCAAGAGAGGGAAGGAAGAGTGATCACATTGCCAGCAAAGGGCTCCCAAGTCCCAACCACCAAGAAGAAAATGAACACCCCACTAATACCTAATAGCTCTTTGCCTTATATAATGGGTGATAAATTGAAGATACTCAATAACTAAAGGACAGAAAGAAGCAGCAGCTTAAGCTTGAAAAGAAGAAGAAGAAAATCCCTACGTGTTGGCTCCATCATGATGAGAACCAGAGGCAAACAAGCAGGTTTTCATCTCCTGGTGCCTGTTCTTGTCACACACCAGACATGGAGCTGGCAGAGGTGCTTTTGCCACCCAGGGACGGCTCAGCAGCTCTTCTTGATGCAGCACTGCTGGATGGGGATGCAGGGGACACAGCACTTCCTGACAGTAGTGCAGCACTGCACGGGGCTGCAGCAAACCACCACGGGCTTCTTCACCACGTAGGAGCAGCAGGAGGAGCAGCAGGGCCGGGGGACACAGCAGACAGACTTCTGGCACACCTTGGTGCAGCACACGGGCTGCTGGCACGGGTCACAGCACACAGTCTTCTGGCACGGGTCACAGCACACAGACTGGCACGGGTCACAGCACACAGACTGGCACGGGTCACAGCAGGGCTTCTGGCACGGGTCACAGCACACAGTCTGGCACGGGTCACAGGAGCAGGACTGCTGGCATGGATCACAGCAGGGCTTCTGGCACGGGTCACAGCAGACTGCCTGCTGGCATGGGTCACAGCAGGGCTTCTGGCATGGGTCACAACAGACTGCCTGCTGGCACGGGTCACAGCAGGGCTTCTGGCACGGGTCACAGCACACAGTCTGGCACGGGTCACAACAAGGCTTCTGGCATGGATCACAGCAGACTGCCTGCTGGCACGGGTCACAGCAGGGCTTCTGGCATGGGTCACAACACACAGTCTGGCA